GTACAGTACAGTATTTTGAGAGAGAGGCAACATTCAGGATACTTTTTATAGCATATTTATAGATTGTTTATAGTTATAATTGTTTATATAATTGTCTTTTATAGTTATAATTGTTCTATGTTATTGTTAATAATCTCCCTCTGTCTAATTTAGAAGTTAAACTTTATCACGGATGGAGATTATATATATATATGTGTATGTATATATATATATATATATATATATATATATATATATATATGAAAAATGCAGTATATACAGGGTTTTTTCCCTCTCTGTGGTTTCAGGCATTGATTGGGGGATCTTTAAGCATATCCCTGTGGATAGGGGGGCTCCTGTAATCTGGTATGCATATATATATATATATATATATATATATATATGTGTGTGTGTGTGTGTGTGTGTGTGTATAAAATCTTGATACGGTTCGCAGTAATCTTGGACTGGATTGGTTTGCTTGGATAATGAAGGCCTTGGAATGAGATGTGGTCTGATTTCACTGGTGCAGGGCATGTTATACAATTCTTCAAATTCTTGAATTTCAAGCCAGAGCCGTGCATTTAGCAATTAGGAGAACCCAGTGAAGTATGGCATCGCAGAGGGAGAGAGCTCTCTTCAAAGCGCTTTTTAGAATACACAGTGTTTCCTTCCCTTGATGAATACAGTGATCTAAGCGTTCCATTATTCAAACATGGGGTGAATAATAATAAGGCGCTTGGCTGGAACTATTAAGGAGGGAAATATACTGGGAGGGGTTTATAAGCCTTTGTATTGAAACTTGTTCAACCTCTTTTGGAGAAAACATTCCCAAGGCTTGATTTGACTCCTTTGCTGCATGCTCCTTGCTTTTCGGTGCAGGTCAGTGTTGCTGAGAAATCCTGGCTGTCTCCAGTGTAAGAGGCAATGAATGGGTCATGGAATCATTGAAAATAAAGACAGGGAATAGTTGCAAGGCTATTCCTTTGTCCTGTGGGGACTAATGCTGGATTCCACCCTCTAATATGTTCCTCATGTGGTGTAGATGAGTCTGATTTCAGTGGTGGGTGTAACCAGAGACCTTTGCCCTCACATTCATTGCAAGCGGCTGTGGACAACAAAGTCTACTCGAGGACTGACAGGGAGCCCTCTTGGAATGAATGTAATCCAAAACCCATCGTTGAGTTTTATTAGAACCAGGGAAGGCGACAGAACCATTGGTCACAAATCCAAAGAAGCTCAAGAAAACCCACACGCTTCCGGGACTAATGCAAAGCTGTTGCCAATGCCAATTTTTGATTCCTCTTTGACTGAAGGCAGAAGAAAGTGCTAGGATTGTTGAATTAGGGCCACTTATTTTTTTGTTTTGTTTTGTTTTGTTTTGCAATGCTTCTGGAAAATGTGACCACAAACCTAAGACAGACAACGTCGATTAGTTTAAATTTGACACGTGTCAATTAAGATAACTCAGAACACGTATGAGCACTAGGTAGCACTTAGCTTTAGCTTAATTTGTTCCTTTCTTGGCAATCCTCTTATTTTTTATTATTTCTTACAGGAAAAGATAGTTCTGAAAGAATTAGTGGAAGGATATGTAGACCAAGAGTCACAAGACATATGAGCAAATGTAACTTTTATCAGTTTACTGGGATGTTACCCCAGGACAAATTTTGAACTTCTCTGAGCCTCACAAATAGCGAGGGTTGTCATAAATAATCTGATGACTTGGGGTCTAGCATCTCCAGATGGGGAAAAATGTTACAGATGAGAAAAAAATTCATGCATTGCACCAAAAAACAGAGTTAGCAGGTATGGAGCTAGACTACACTTCAGCACTGAGACTCAGTGAGTATGCTGAACCCACTCCACAGTGTTCCTTCCCTAGAGCAAACATGTTTTCTAGAGTGCACCATTGAAAGAGTGTGCCTCCATCTTCCAAAAATCCATGACAGGTTTTAGTACATTTTAGATTTTGGAGTGACCAGATCAGATTTGAATTTTTAAAGGACGTTAGCATTTCTGTGTGATGAATGCATTTGAAGGGCACAGGAATGGATTTGAAAAGGCGAGTAAGGATGCACTTACGTCGGTGGCTTTAACTAGGATGAAGAGGATACAATAAAAGAGAAAAGTGGACGAATTCGAGAAGTGTTTAGGGAGAATAATCAATCAGTAGTAGTGATGTGTTCCACACAGGATGAGAAAAATCATGATTCAAGATTAAGTTGCAAGTTTCTGTTTTTAATAGCTGTTGGATGGTGGGGAAACTAGCAGTTATTCATATAGAAAAGCCAGGGGAAAGAGCAAATTTGGGGTGGGATGGTCACAATAACTACATTGTTGGGCATTTATTGAGCATTTACTATGCACCAGGGACTGTTATTAGTGTTTTATATACATCTACTCATTTAATTTTCTAACAACTCTGAAGTATATACAGTTATGAATAGCTTATCTAATCCACTCACGGTTCTTTAGCTGGTCACCTACCGGGACAGGTATTTCAACACAGAAGGTCTGGTCCCAGAAGCCTTGAGTTTACTTCCTACCTTATGGGAGGGTCACTGTAGAAAGGCTGAGTAGAAAGCAAAATGCATAGTTCTGAAGCTCAGAAGCAAAGTCTGAGCAAGAGGGATAAATTAGGGAGTCATTGTATTAGTCATGGTAGGCTGTGGAATCTCAATGGTTTAACACAATCAGGGTTTATCTCTTGGCCACGCAAAGGCCAGTGTGGATGTTCCATTCTGGTGGCTCTTGGAGGCAGCTACCCTCTAGGTGTTGACTCTGCGACCTCAGCTTCTTCCAACTCATGGCTTCACCACTCCCTGGGGCTTCTTGGAGCCCTTCATTGGTTCCTGTGCATCCAACTAGCCGATGAACTGAGAGAGTTTGGAGATTTCACAGGATGATTTTAGGGGCCAGGACTAGTCATGGTGTTCATCATTTCTACCTAAAGTATAATGGCCAGAACATTTCATATAGCCCAATTGGCCTCTGACATTTAGTTGTGTACTCAGAAGAATGAGTAGATTTTACACAAACATAGGGACGGCAGTTGAACCCACACAGGAGGGAATAGGCTCACATTGGGAATGACTATAGAATGAGAAAGATGGCCTCTGTCAGATAATCTGACAAGCTTCTTAGGATAATGGTGATGATTAATAATAGCTAAAACTTTTAGAGCACTTACTGTGTTGCAGGCATATTTACATATATTAATTCATGCGCTCTTTACAAAAGCCCTTTGTGTCATGCCATCATATATTTTTATGGCTATAAAGAAACAAAGCTGCATATAGTAAATAACTCTCCCAAGGCCAGAGAGCTCATAAGCGACAGAACAAGAATTTGAATGCAGACAGTTTGGTTCCAGAGTCCGTGAGTGTAACCCATGTTTTATGCTGCATAATTACTAACTTCAAATACTTGAAAAATGTCACATTAATATGTAAGGATCCTTGCTATGGGTTCCCAAGGGATAGGACTGTAACTAATAAATGGAATTTAAATTGTGGTAGATTTCAGCCCAAAAGAAGCTAGCTCTTTCTAGTAGCGCTGTCTGAAAGGAAGCAAACTGCTTCCTGAGATAGTGGGGACTATGGAGGTGCTCAGGCTTAAGAACAAACTCCTGGCAAAAATATCAGAGAGAGGATTCTAGCATCCAATGAATGTTTGGGAGAGATAACATTTATATTCGCCTCCAACCTACAAGAGTTAGGAAAATTTTTAAGTGCGTATTGGCCAAGTTCGCCTCTGAATGTATAACCCTTGTACCAGTCTAAGTTCTGAATTAGCTACTTAAAGTAAATGTCGATGCCTGTATTTTCTAAGTATTGGATTAATGTCTGAAAGGAGGAGAAATCAGAGAAAATATGAAAGAGGTGTCGGCCCCTACCCTTGCAGTTCTTACAATTTACTAAGAGAGACAAGACACATATCTTGTGTATAATTCTTGTGAATCACCAGAGTACCCTACTTAGAATCTAGTGCAGCGGTTCTCAACCTGTGGGTCGTGACCCTTTGGCGGTCGAATGACCCTTTCACAGGGGTCGCCTAAGACCATCCTGCATATCAGATATTTACATTATGATTTATAACCGTAGCAACATTACAGTTATGAAGTAGCAACGAAAATAATTTTATGGTTGGGGTCACAACATGAGGAACTATATTTAAAGGGCCAGACGGTTGAGAACCACTGATCTAGTGGCAGGGACTGAAAAGTGTTTTATAGATGGCAGAGGATGTCTCAGTTGGCTCAGGTGTGATAAGTCTTTGCTCAAAGTTCTTTTGCTTTGTATCAAGGTAGTTCTACAACTTTAGCTTGCTGCCGAATCATGTGGTGAGCTTGTTAAACCATCCTCAGCTTTCTGATTCAGTAGGTTAGAGTTGGGGCCACAGAGTTGCAGTTCTAACAAGTTCCCAGGTGATGCTGATACTGGGCAGGTGATCACACTTAGGGCATCACTGATCTAATAGAAGACTTATCACTCAATATCATAATCCTCTGTTTATGTCTTTGGCCCTCCAGCAGACTGTGAACTCTTGGTTTGCCTTTGTATTCTGAGGGTCTAACCCACTCCTGATTCCTCAGTAAATTTGTATTGAGTAAATACTTTGAAAGAAATGCATATTTTTCTAGAAATACAAAGGATTTGGAAATGTGATTCATGTAAGGAGGTGTCTGAGCTGAATAGCAACATTATCCACACACAAACACTCCACTTCATATTATGCACCTGGGACTACAGTCCTTGAATGAGCATCAGAATCTTGTTTCCTCTCTTTGTCATCATCTTTCTTCCTTTTCTGACTGTCACAGTCACTTCATGGAAGGAAAATACTCTTTCTGGTGCGTTGACTGTAATTTTCCTCCTCCTGAAGTCCATTCCCTTTGGGCTGTCTTTGGCTGAACTTTGCAGTCTTCACTGAAGAGGGAACCCTTTCCCACTGTTCTCTGAGAAAGCAGCCCCTTTGAAGTCACAGCTGGCTGGACTAAACTCATTTCCTCTATCCACAATGTGTGTCTGATGCAATGTTGGCTGACGCTCCCTCTTGCCGGCTCCTGCTATTGAACCAGATCCAAGTGCAATGTTTAATGTGAGTGTTTGGCTTGGCTTAAATTTAGCCAAATCATCTGTACTTTGTTTCATTTGAAAGCTCGTTCTCTCTCTCTCTCTCTCTCTCTCTCTCTCTCTCTCTCTCTCTCTCTCTCGTTCTCTCAACTAGTTTTTTCCAGATGTTTTCGATTTGTCCTTTTGTGGTCTGCTCCACCCAGTTCCTAAATCAGTAAATCATTTTCATGCTTCTTCTAAAATCTAAGGAAAGAAAGTGCTCAATTAGAGAGAGCAACTGATTCTAGATTTCCTAGAGCTTACACTTAGGGATGGCTGCTCACCCCAGGAAATACCTTTGAAAGATATGGGGAAATGTTTTGTGATTGAGAATACTTAGATTTGGCTTTCAACTTCTTAGCATTTGGAATAAGAGGATAGACATAATGTTGATGTGCTAATATAAACACCCGAAACTCATCCTCTCCTTTGAGGTCCAATATAATTGCTGTTCGTGTTTGAAGTTGTTTTGTTACTTATGTATAAATAGAGATTCCCATTATATGAATTCATGTGAGTGATAAAACATAGTAACATATAATATTCATAGCCTTTCCCCCTCTCCCATCCTCTTTTACCCTTTTCAGCCTGTGGACTATGGTGATAAGCGTCAGGGTAGACAGAATGCAAGAAGGGAGAAATGTTTGCTTTATCATTATTATGAGGAATAAATAACTTCTTAAAAAAAAACCCCACATAGATCTGATAGGGTAGCAAGGGAATTTAGAGAGAAAAGTCAATAAACTCCCTGCGTTATGAAAGAGAGTTTTAGATGTTTTTGAGAGAAGAGATGAGATATTGAGGACAGCTGATTATGTAAGAGATTCAAAGAGAAATGGAGATTTAAAGAAATTTGTGTGGCCCTGGCCAGAGTGGCTCAGTTGATCGAGCATCATCCCGTTTATAGAAAGATTGCCAGTTTGATTCCTGGTCAGGGCACATGCCCAGGTTATGGGTTCAGTCACCAGTCAGGGTGTCATACAGGAGGCAACCAATCGATGGTTGTCTCTCACATTGATGTTTCTCTTTAAAAAATCAATAAAAACTTATTGAAAATGAGACATTTCTCTGTGTGTTTATTAATGTGATTTCTCTTTGGTGCCTTTTTAAGTGACTTTACTCAACATTTAAGTCCTTTCCAAGACATTTTGGGGGGGTAGATACAGGTTTTCTTTTGGATTTGACACCAATATGAGACCTACTATTCAGATTACACCTATACAACTTTGTGCTACCATTTTTTTTTTTTAAATTTCATCCTACCATCTGTATGAATTATTTTCTGACATCATACTATAGCAGAAAGAAAATAATCTTTGGGGCCATAGGTTGGGGCAGTCCAAGTAGGCCATACTATTTTTGGGAGAAAGAGGTATGATTAGCTCTTCCTATTCCTCCCTCCCTCTTATCTCTCCCTCCCTCTCCTCCATCCCTCCTTTCCTCCCTCCCTCCCTCCCTCCCTCCCTCCCTCCCTCCCTCCCTTCCTCCCTTCCTTCCTTCCTCCTTCCCCCCTTCTCTAACAGCTGTTCATCTTTCCTCCTTAGCTTAAGTTGACATTGACAGCCTATCCTGGGTTGAATGAAGGAAGAGAAATGGGGAGAAAGGGGAGACAATGGTTAGTTGGTTAGATGTAAGTTAATTGAGTTACTTAGCCTGGCTGATAGGTTCAGCTAACTCATTCTCTGGTGGGCTTCTCCATTGATGCTTTGATGTCTCTCTTGCTGGACTTCTTTAAGCAGGATGCCACAATCATGGTCAATGCCTTTACTTTTGGTCATTGTGGTCCTGACCCACACTCAATGCATATTTCTAGCAGTCTACTCCACATAACTTCTAAGAATCCCCTTGCCCTCTGGCAGAAGCTCCTTTTGGTAGGACCTCTATGTAATTTAAAAAATATACTTTATTGATTTTTTACAGAGAGGAAGGGAGAGGGATAGAAAGTTAGAAATATCGTTGAGAGAGAAACATAGATCAGCTGCCTCCTGCACACCCCCTACTGGGGATGTGCCTGCAACCAAGGTACATGCCCTTGTCCGGAATCGAACCTGGGACCCTTGTCCGGAATCGAATCCGCAGGCCGATGCTCTATCCACTGAGCCAAACCGATTAGGGCAGGACCTCTTGTAAATGGCTGATCTTTCCAATGAGGTTCCATATCAGAAGATTGCAATTCACACACAGAGGAGTGCAGTGATTTTCTGAAACCTTCCCTCTGCTCTGTTACTGCATGCCGTTTCACCCAGCCTCTTGCCTTTATTCTTTGGACATATATCACTCACCAGGCCTCTTCATTCCCCCAAGGCAAGGGGACACAGAGCTTTCTCTTCAACACTCCTACTGAAGACCCTCTCTTTAAGTTTAAGGTAAATGGTGGAGAGTGAAGAAAGGGACAGCATCATAGCATAGCTTTTATCCAATAAGTGATTTTCATAAAAATATTTCTCCTATTTTTTATTCTTTTGATCTCTTTATATATTCTTGTGGGTGTCAGATCTATATGACTCAGAATTAACCTCCGAAGTTTTTCAGGTGGTGTAGCCTCCCACCTTGGAGTTTCTCATCTATTTTATCTTTCTGCCTCATTTGAAACTTCCAAGTTTACATCCTGTTACACACTCAGGTGCCATCATTTTCCTGTTTAACTGCCACCAAATGAAATGTAACTTTCTTAAAAACTCCAGTGAAATGTCTTTTGTAAAGTCCATGAGATAGCTGATAGGATAATACTCAATGGAGTACATCTCTGAAAAAATGGTTTTAATTAAGTGGAATTCTTTGGATTTGTCCTAATTAGCATATACATAGAGATATGGTATGGTTGAGTGTTCTATAAATATTTCTGAATTAAAGAAAATGAGTTAGCAAGAGCTCTGACTTTACTAATTGGCTGTGTTAACTCAGGTGAAGCATCACCTCAAAGACAATTTCTTATTTATCAAAGAGATTTGTTATCATCTCCAAGTCATTTTAGCTTTTAAAGCCCCACAATTTTGTAATTCTACATATGGATTTTTCCTATAATACATGTGTGTACCTTCTCTGGTCAAGTAAATGCCAAGGGGAGTGAAGGTAGCAACCATGTTACCTATGTTTTTGTAGGTGTTAGAGTTAATCAAATTGGTTTCACATTCAAAGTTCTATAAAGAACCTGAGTGTTTGGGATAAAAGAGTATCGATAAGATGGATCAAGGGTAATGCCAAGGATGCTACTGTTGTGTAGCCTTTCTAATTATTGGAGTTTTGGGTGAGTAGGAATCAGTTAAAGGACATAATGCCTCTATAGTATGGTTTTGGGGGGGGTCTGCTTTTTGATTTCTCTTCTAGAGAGCATAGTCTTTGTGAAATTTGTGCAAATACACACAAGGTAAGTTCTACAGGGTTTGGTAACTGACAAGTCCCACATAGAAGTGCTGTCCACGAGAGTGCAAAAGATGGAGTTAACCCTCTACCTGTGGGGTTCAGGGAAGCTTTCTTGGGCGAGAGGAGCTTAGCTGAGTCTTAGAAAATGATTAAGTATTTATGTGACAGAAAGAGGAGGAAGAAAGATTACCTTAGGTAGAGGAAGAAGGAAGCATTAATCATATCCTCTCTCTTATGGGATCTGCAACAGCGAGGAAAAAGGTAAGAATCAGAGATCTAAATATTAGCTTTAGAAATACATAATAACAGTAATGTACTGATCTTGGCATGCATAGATTCTCCTCTGAGATGCGTACCTTAGAGAAACTCTAACATAAGTACACATGGAAACGTCACAGAATATTCATAGAAGTGTGGCTATAATAGTGAAATATAGAAACCACCTAAATATCCATCACCATATATATGTAATGTATTAATCCATGGGAATGTTATAATCATTTCAGATGAATATACTAGCAATACATCTATCAACATGAGTAAACCCTGACAACATAATATGCAGCAAAATAATTTTATGCAAATAAAAAAGGAACTATGTGAATATACTGTTCATATACAAGGTATATAAATAAGCAAAACAAAATTTAATACTATTGAGGAATATGAGGAATACATATATAGTATAACTATGAAAGCACTCAGGGGAATGATAAACAAAGTTTAGAGGTGGTCCCCTCTGTGATAGGAAGTATGTGGGAGAAGAACGGGAACAAGAAGGGAAAAATCAAAGAATTGCAATTGTACGGATGGAGTTTTAGTTCTTAAGCCAAATTGTAGGAGTGTTTTACTTTGTGGTATTCTTTTTTTTTTTTTATAATATGTATTGTTTTATTGATTTCAGAGAGGAAGGGAGAGGGAGAGAGAGATAGAAACATCAGTGATGAGAGAGAATTATTGATTGGCTGCCTCCTGCACACCCCCAATCTGGGGATTGAACCCGCAACCCAGGAAGGTACCCTTCAGTCCGTAGGTCTGTTTGCTGAACCAAACCGGCTAGGGCACTTGGTAGTATTCTTTAGCATTATTTTAATTTATTGAATGTCTGGAATATACATCCCATCAACATACACTCATAATCTTCTTTATAAGCTTTATTATGGGCAAATGCACATTGGCATATATGGCTTAGGACCAAGACCAAAATGAGCTCTCAGTGCTTCCGCCTGAACTGACTTTGTCCACCTGGCATAAGGTAGAGAACCCATCTCCAGTGACCTTGTCCCCGAGCACAGAGGCTGAGATACTTGTCCCCTATCCCAGTGGTCGGCAAACTGCGGCTCACGAGCCACATGCGGCTCTTTGGCCCCTTGAGTGTGGCCACAAAGTTTCAATCTCACTGTATGTGCGCGCCCGCACGTGGTATTTTGTGAAAGAGCCACACTCAAGGGGCCGCAGTTTGCCGACCACTGCCCTATCCCATCAATCCGACACATCTTCCCTGGGCAGAGGCATTAAGTGAGAGGTGAAGAGAAGGTCAGAAGCATTTCCTCTGTATTTTTAAGATGGCTGCAGTTTCTATGATATGGCTCCTCCTTTCCCATTTTAATAACTGGAACCCTC